GTGTTGAACAAGATACTGACGGACCGTCAGCGCTTCAGCTACGTAGATTCGTCTCCAGACACGTACGTTCAAGAAATCCATGACGTCACCGCTGAAGCTGGTGATGGTGCCGCTTACGGGCAAGAAGGAGAAGACGTTGTTCGCGCCGTTGGAACCGCTGTACAGATTCCAGGATTGTCCGGCAAGGCTGATGTCCGAAGCAACCGGCACGGGCTGGCCGCTCGAGCTGTAGCTGGATGAGATGGGCCCGGCGTTGTAGTTGGCCAGCCAAATCATGATCTCATTGACGTTCGAGCCCCCGGCGGTGTTCGACGTGAAGAGATCATATGCTACATCAGCGACGACGGTACCAGAGCTGCTCTGGGACCACTTCCAGGTCGTCTGTATGAACGAGTAAGCAACGCATCTTCTCCGAATACATAGAGTGAAGGCTGACTGGCATGCTGGAGATCGCGCTCAGCTGCTGGTTAATGCCCTGGTTGAGCTGAATGTCTGTGAAGCTCTTGACCCCGCCCGAACCCTCGGACCATGTCCAGTTGGTTTTCCAGGAGATGGTGGAGTCGCTCAAGCTGACGAGGCTGGCACATTGCGAACCAGTTGCGCCAGAGATGCCCCACTGGTCAAGAAGAAGCTCGTATTGAGTGGCAGTGACGGTGTCCCATTGTCCGCAATGCGTAGACGTGTCGATGCTCGCACGAGATTCGAGCCCGGCTGGCGTGGGCGAAGCCAGTGCGAGAGAGACGAGAGATGCGATGAGGAGCTTTGAAAACATTGTGCCTCGCTAGTAGCGTGTAGGGGAGATGTGGCATTCGAGGAGGTTATATAGGCTTTGCATTGGAGAAATGTCCGGCCCACATGATGACGGTGCAGGCATATGACCATGAGCTGATTGTAGCGACCCTTCCCTAGAGGCCAACGGAGAAACAGCCACTGAGGACAAATGATACAAGTTCGGTGTGATGTCGTCAAGCATGGTGCCAAGCGGGCCGTGCAGCATCCACTTCACGATGTGCGTTGGCATCAGGTGGGAGTGGGCCTTCCTTGAGCGTGCGGCGCACAATGCCTGAAATATCGCGGAGAAGGTTAACTGAAGAACTCCGGAACTACGACCATGGTCTTCTGCTCGGGCCGTGGTGCGTTTGATCGCATGAAGGAGACTTACCGGCAAAATCCACGCCACAACGCTTGGGGACAATCTGAACGTTCGTCAGGGTCGCGGCAGGCGGGGAAGTTCTTGTGATCGATACCGTTTCGCAACGACATGGGACCCGCCTGCATACGCCAGCAGCATATATCCATCTGATATTTTATGTAGAAGCCTGCGGTTCTAAGGACGACCACGAAGGACGACCACGAGGAGAAACACGACTTGGCGTTGACGACATACAGACGAATGCCCGGCGGGTAAGTACCACTCTGCATGTCTGTCGCTGCAACATGCGGAGATGGCAGCCCTACGGTAGCCATGAATCAAAACTTCACTGCAAGGCATATCGAGGGTGTCATGGTGTATGGTGAAGACGAGGCCCCGGGAACGTTTCCTTTTAAGGACGTGCGGGTTGGTTATCACCCGCCCTGGCATGTCCGGTTCAAATCCCATGTCCGCTCTCTATCGAAGTTTTTTTTTCAACTACGCAAGGTACAAAGTTTTGTTTAGTCTATTTCCTGTGCGAAGCTCACGGTATATAACCAACAGGTTTCGACCGATTGCGACAAAGCCAGTCTTTCTGGCTCGTCTGCACAACAGTTTTGCTGGACCTCCCGTTCGCCGTAACATGGCCCAAGAATTCCTACTGTAAGGGATTATTCTGCGAATTGAAATGCTGCTTGAAGATGACTGAAAGCATTCAGTGTCTCGCCTTTGAAACAGCTTCTCACTCATTTTCGCTACTTGTTGACGTTGCGTTCGCAGGAGGGAGTGTACCACCAGCTCATTCTCTTCCGGCTCACACCTTCAGAAACCGCCATTGCGAATAAGATAAGTACACCGGAGGATGAGCTTTCTTCAGCAGAATCTCAAGAGGTTGCACAGCAGCTGTATGCCATGGAGGCGCAGTGTCCACACCTTGGCGCAGATATCTCGCATGCGGAAATAGAGGAATGCGACAGCAGCCTAGTGCTCGTTTGTCCATGGCATAGGTGAGTGTGGTGAGGTCGCTGCGGAGCTTAGTACTCATCCTCTACATTTTGACTGGAGTAGATATGACTTCGACTTGAAAACTGGGCATAGCGAGACAGGACTCAAGGCCTGCACTTACGCGGTACAAGTCCGACCCGGCGGCTCCGACCCCCCAGAGGAAAGAGTATGGGTAGAGGCACCGGAAGGCGGCACGAACTGGCGGCTCGTTGAACTGCGACCCGTGTCTGAAGGTGAATTACAGCGTAGTCTGCTTTGTTGACTTCTGAGACTGACGCTCGCTTTCAGATTTTGCAGACCCACCTCCCCCGCCTCCAGATCTTTCGCACTTGTCGCTATCCTCAGCACCGGAAAAAAGATCTGATCTTCCTCCGGAGCCAATCGTTCCGGCAGGGAATCCCCCCAAGACGCTGATCGAATGGGCTGTCCTAATCTTAAACACCGCGGATCCCACTCTAAAGGCAAGTCTATGGTATTTCTTGACAAATTCGAGTAGTATTCAAGTTCTTCGTAGGTTCAACGTACAAGGCATGCTGTGAATGCGTTCCGCACAGGAGTAATCAAGTCTATTGGCCACCGCTCCGCTAGTGCCCCTCGACCGCCTGAGGAACCGCCTCGGGAGGAGGCTATCATCAAAAATACTGTAGAATCACGGCAAATGAGCAGACGTAAAAACAGAGCTGTTATGCTCCATGCGCTGGCAAATATTGAGCAGTGGGCGTGAGTACCGAATTCTCAACTCAGGTAAGCTAGGGCACATACTCATTGCAAGTTTGCCATGGCGGCAGCATTGACCTGGCGTGAGTCGTCTTCTGAGGCAAGAGTATCAACCTTCTCATGCGTCATTCACTAGGTGGGACATTATCGCTCGTTTTGGACCAAGCAATCCGGACCTGCCCCACGCTTTCTTCTCTGACTTTACCAAGATGGCATTAGACGAATCAAAACACTTCACCCTGCTCACCTCGCGTCTTGCGGCGCTCTCTCCGGCGACGCCATACGGCTCGATCCCCGTGCACGCCGCCCTCTGGGAGTCCGCGCGGGTGACGTTCGGGTCGCTGCGCTCGCGACTCGCCATCATCCACCTCGTGCACGAAGCACGCGGACTTGACGTCAACCCGGGCACGATCGCGAAGTTTGCCAAGGCAGGCGACGAAGAGAGCGTCAAGATGCTCGAGATTATACACGCCGACGAGGTGACCCACGTCACTGCAGGGCACAGATGGTTTACGTGGCTATGCGAACGCGAAGGTATCGATCCCGTGAAGACATTCAGAGATGAGGTGCGCCGTGGGTGGAGGGGGGATGTGAAGGGTCCGTTCAACGTCGAGGACAGGGAGAAGGCCGGGATGACGCGAGAGTTCTTTGAGGACCTCAAGGGCGAGATGAGCATTGACCCACCAAACACAAGGGAGACAGCTCCTCCTAGAGTTGAGGTCGGATATGGACCGCTCTAATTTATTACCATCAGCTTTCCCAGCTTAGCCTACATAACTTCAACGGCTATCGCCTAATAGTCATAATCAAAATGCGTCAGGTCGACGTGCTCTATGAATACACGAGTGTCACATATGGTATACATCCGATAGCAACTCGACAGCGAAACAACATAGAATCTAGATGGAAGAGAATGGACAAAGAGTCGCGCTGATATCTACCAGGCGCCCAACAGAGATTCAGCGCATTCCTACAAGCTGATTGAGTGCTGTGAATATAGAGAAAATCTAGCAGAACGCACCCTTAGCTTTGGGAACTTGTGCACCAGCGCAACGTTAACCATGGTTCGTAGACGACGTCGAACATCCGCCTTGCTGATAGTAAGTTGGTAGTTACCTGAGCATTGGCAGAAACGAGAGACGTTGTCCGACTGAATTTGTTTGCACTTGGTGCAACGGAGGTCCTGCTGTGCGAATCGCCGCTCGAGTTCCCAGACCATCTCGATGAGAGCGAACTCGATCATGGTGCGGTCGTACTCTCCATAGCAATTGACGCATGTCCAGCGCGGAGCACCCTGGCCGGCAAGCTCCACCAGCTCGGGATCTCGACAGAAGTCGAAGTCGCGCAGAGAGTCGCAGTGTCGGCAGGGGACATTAGAGAGCTTGAGCGGCTCACAAGGGTTCTGGAAGGCCGCCTCGGATGAGAATTCTCGCACTCCGACGAGCTCGAGAAGATTGCGTTTCAGCAGGCCAACTTCAATCTGGCACTCCTTCGACAACGCAAAAATGGCGCAGGTAAACTTGACAAACTCGAGGACAGGGTTCGTCATGTGGAGGTGTGATCCAGGAAGCACCGGGAACTGCCATTGAGCTAAAATTTCTTCGTCCATCATGGCCCCACGGTGTTGATCGATAACATTGCCAACCATCTTCAGCATCCGCCGAAGGAGTTTGCGTTGGACGAACTCCTTGCTGTCTTCTTGCTCTTTAGTCTTTCCTGCGTCTGGCTGTGTCGCGCCCGGAGGGCCATTCTGGATCATACGAAGCGGCGCACGACCACCGGCGTTGCTCTTCTGCTTAACCTTGAAGAATTCGACGAGGAAGTACCGTATCGCCTTCTTGAAGTCTTCTTGGAGAGCAGGCGGCAAAAACGATTGAATATTCCAGCGCATCTCCAGACACAGCTCCTCGGCTGGATCGACAGCGAGTGGGTCCTCGCAAACAATACCAGCTAGGTTGGCTGGGTCCATGAATATGAGGAAGTCATAGAAGCGCTCCGTGTGAAGGTAGACATGCTGGAAGAGTTCGTGAGAAGTGACAGCCGTGGTGATGTAGGTGGCGTAGGCGTGAGCTGTCCCAGGTGGCTTCGAGGTGACGAGGAGAATCCTGCTCAGGTCTGCATAGACAACGTGCGACCCAAGCCGCTTAAACTCGGCAAGGATCTGGATAAACGTTTTCCGCATGAGGCCGTGGACGAACCTGTGGAGGCTAGGCTCGTAGAGGTGGGATGAATTTGAGCTGATCCATCGCCAGAAGTGGTCGATGGCGAGTGAAGCAGGACTTTCGAAGTTGCCCCGAATCTTGTCGAGGAGCCACGTCTTCACCATGCCTCTGAGAATGCTGAATGTGATCGGAGATACGCTGGATTCGCCTAACGTCAGATCCTTCTGGGTATCGTCGCCGGTGTACTGATCCAAGTTCTTCGTCGCATCAAATGCGGTGGCACCGCCGCTGCCTTCTAGCTCATTCACGATCATCGAGTGTAAGACAGCGTCGACCGCGAGGTTCCGGACCGTGATCTCCAAACAGACGTTCGAGTAGCATCCGGGGGACATAAACTCGGTCTTGGGCAGCTCCTCAGTGGGCCGGCGGTCGTCTTCAATGCCGCCCAAATCCGGCCGATCGGTCGGCGACCACCAAAGTAGAATGTCTTGTGCGGTCAACCGACGGGCGAACTCGATATCGGCGAGCAGCAACGGCTGGTCGCCATCTATGTGTCCAACCGGAACGTCATAGTAATCTGCGAGGGCGATGGTACGATCCAACCAGGCGCCCATCGTCAGGTAGCGGCGAATCATCTTCTGGGCAGCGGCAGGCTGCCATGGGAGAACATCCAAAGAGTGGAGGGCCTTGGCCTTCGACATCGACAAAACTGGGAACTTTGCCAGCTTTGGAATGTATGCGTCAAAGTAAGTCTGCTCCTTCAGAGACGAGATCACGACTGTCAGGCCCTGGTTCTCCGCGAGACCGAGCTCACGAGAGATGGCCTTCATGGCAATGAAGTCGTTCGCGTGGTAGGTAGTCGTGAAATCAAGCGAATCAGGGTACGTGAAGGAGATGTTGGAGCCTTGGTTTGGACGCTTGTTCAGCAAGTCGAGGTAGGTTTCCGGTAAGCGGACGAGTGCTTGGCGGCGAGTTGCAGGATCGACGATGTGCAGCCTAACTGGGCCCGATGGAAGGAAAAGGCCGAACACATGAACATTTGCAGAGCTGGACATCGCGTGGAAGAGGAGTGTGCATTTAGTAGCTCGTCCCTCGTCAAGATACTTGACACGAGACGAGTTTGCCATAGCTCTGTCTAGTTGTTTTAGGTCAAATCCAGTGACCTCGGCACGGTTGAGTGTCAGACCGCTGATATCGGTAGCGCAGGTCTTGCCCAACTTGAGCAACGCGCGAGTGACTAGTGGCACCTACAATGTCGAGTCAGAAAGCGTCGGCCGCGAAATACACGGAATGCACATACCTGCTGCTCATATACTCCATCGACACTCGGGTCGTTAGTCAAATGAATGAAATGTTCCTGCTCCTCAAGGAACGTCTCCTCTCGCACGGACAGCTTATACAGGTTAACGCAGGGCTGATCGCGTGGCAAAGTCCGCACGACCTTTTCGACGCTGTACATGTCGGTCCGGAAGTGATCACGCTTCGGCGTTATGCGCAAGTGCACGTAGAACTCTCTCGGAATCCGGAGCGGTACAGATACCAGGCCGGTGTCGGTTGAGAGCCAGAGAGTGAACTTGCCTGGCGTTCTCATCTGGCGAATCTGTACAATGTCCCAACGACCCGTGTCCTTGACACGGACGCCCTTGAACATTTCCGGGACGACAGCGTCATCGTTGAAGCCGAGCTTCTTCGCCAGCCTCTGCGTCCAGCGGACTCTGGCGCCTCGTAGCCAAGCGGAATAGTTAACCTCAGGCTTCACCTTGGGAAGCTGTGACTCCGATGCGGGTTCCGGCGTCTCTTCACGGCGACTGGGCTTGCGGTTGACGACCGCAATGCGTTTGCGACCATCGCGACTCTGCGTGCCGCCGATATCTTCGATGTCGGCCTCGGTTTGCTGGGTCTGCAGAGTGTCAACGGTCATCTTGCCGAAGTACTCCGTCATCTTGTGCTGGTGAAACTTGTCGCCTTGCGCCACGACGCGGCGGTGAAGCCAGTCAGGGTGGCGAATGCGCGGAACGGGATTCGCAACCTTCTGCATCGCAGCAGGAATGGTGATGAGCTTCTGAATGACGGAGCCGAGGCGCTCGATGTAGTAGCCCCAGTCGAGAATCGACCGGAGGTCAAAGTTTGTCATACTGTTATCCTTGAGCCACTTGCGCAGGTACGCTCGCTTGACGCTCTCCTCGGCGGAGAAGATCGCGACTGGTACCGCACGCTCGGTGACAGGTGCACCAAGGGGTTTTGCAGAGATGATGAACTTGCATGCAAGACCCTTATCCTTGACCATCTGATCGCCCAAGAACTCTGCGAGCCGCTTAGCCGTACTAATCGAGGTCGACTTCTGGCCGGCGTACTCCGCCAAGGTCCTCGACATGCTGCGGTTCTCGGCGATGAGTTCGACAAGTTCATCGTCACCAAGACTCTCTGCCTTGCTGAATAGTACATCGAGCCACCGGTCGGCGATCTGAGCTACCGCAGTGTAGCACTCCTCGGTCGTCGTGCCGAGCAAGAACTTCTCGAAGATCTGAGACTGGAAGATCTTGATGAGCTGTAGTTCGCCCCGACGCTTGACCTCGAAGCCCTTCAGCTCAGCAAGCGAACCGTCGTCATTGAAGACCGCATATCTCTTCTTCAAGAGTTTGTCTTCCTCTTTCGACGACGGGAGGATCATCGCCTTGTACGGTCCGTCCAACTCGAAGAATATCGAGTTCTCGCTATGAATCTTGTAATCCCCGGTCTCAGGGTCAAGGTCGTGGTATTGGTGGTTCGTGAACTGAGCGTTGACGAGGTGGTTGAGCATAGTACAAGGGTAGGAGAACGCAATAGCCTTCCCGTTCTCCAGCTTAAACTTGAAATTCTCGGGGAAGACACCAGGGAGCATGCACCAGATACCGTCGGTATCGAGCTCTAGCGGTCGGCCGATCTGCTCTACGAGCTGCCGGGCCATCTGGATGATAGTCGCGCCCGTTAAACAGGTGATGCCAGCCATCTCCATTGAGTGCCAGCGCGCGCCCTTGCGCATGACGTAGCCATAGAAGGAGTTGAGGATACACTTGTGTGCAAGCTGCAGCGAGTCGTAGAGCACGATCATCTTCTTCGCCTCGTCAACCTCCGCAATGGAACGGCTCTCAGAAAGGACAGTGTCAAGATTCTTCTTCCACGTCTTGTGCAACCCTTTGTACTCGTACCGACGGTCGCGGAAGCGGCGCACGGTATCAATATAGAAGGGGTTCTCCCTCTGGCAGATGATCGCCTGGCGGTTCTCCACCTTGGTATCCTTCACTTTCTTGTAGACCTTTCTCGAGTAGTCGCCAAGACGCTTGTGGAGAAGCGCAGTCTGTTCGGCCGGCGCGAGATCAGAGAATCTTCGCTGGGGTTGACCGGGTTTCTTGGGCGGAAACGTCTCTTGATTCAGCGCATGCTTGATCATGTTGAACTCGTCACGACGCGCAGGGAATAATTCTCCTCTCCATGCCCAGGTCATTCGCCTGTCGCAGACCTTGCCGGGGCGATTGAAGTCGCAGACGGCACATACAGACTCGTCCACGACGGAATCCGGTTGGAGCCGATTGGACAACATGATGTTGGGGTACATGGCGGCGACATCCAAGTGGTAGATGAGCGGATTATCCATGCGAAGAGGATTGTCGCGCATTTCCTCGAGCTTGGCCTGAATCTGTGCCTTGACTTCGTCGTAGTTCGTCACGCTCTCAAGCGACGACTTGGACTCTTCGACGATACAGAAAGTCAGCGCAGCATCCAGCTGATCAATTAACTGTTTCCTTCGGTCAGCAACAGGTTTTGCATGAGCTAAGAAGGCTGACCTGCTGCACAGCGGAAGGCTCAATCTTAAATTGCGTCGAGATATCGCTCCGGAAGACACCTGCTTCAAGAGCTTCGACGTGTCCTCCGACGTAGGTCTCGGTTGCGACCAGATGTCCTTCATACATTTTTCCATGCTCTTCTTCGTGCTTGTTAGGCATGATGACGTTGCCTCGGAATGCTTCGACCTATAGCATGTTACTACGTATCGGCAGAGGCAATCAGAGAACGTACCATCAGAAGTGTCTCGCAAAGTGTGCCAGATCCTTTGCGTAGAACCTCGTCCGCTTTGAGAGGAATGATGTTACATAGAGAGAAGATGAACGGATGGACATATTTCATGTAGAGATAGTAAGTCGCTACTGCATCGGAAACGGAGTATTGGGCAAGAATTTGTGGCTGTTCCATCGCGTACCTGCGTACCTGTGAGTAAACTATGGCAGTAGCATATGCACTGACTCACGGTGTCATCAGTTCGGGGTCGAGCTCGATGGGGTTATACCCAAGCTTCGCCGTGGTGACGGCCTTCAGACCCTGACTGCCTTGTGGCAAGTACGAATCGCGCTTGACCCAGCGGAAGCAATCCATATGCGCACACGTCCTGCTCTTGTACTCCTCTTCAGAATCGATGACGAAGCCTGTCTCGAGAAACATGTCGATTCCGTGAACCTTAGCACGTGCGTACAGGAAAGGGAAATCGAAGAAGTCTCCGTTGAACGTTGCCATAACGGTAGGTTTGACTTCCTGAATATGAGAGAAGAAACGACGAATTACTGAAGGCTGTAGTCGCGAATAAGTTCGCATATAGTCAGTGAAATGCCTGGACATACCTCATCAGCTTCGTTGAAAACTACGAAGGGACCCTCGTAGCCTTCCTTAGGGGTATACTCGAAGTCGTCGATGTCTTCGCTAACGATCTCACGGTTTGTAATGAGGAACCCCTGGCCGTCGACCATGTACGAGATCATCATGACTTGGTCGATGGCTTGGTCAGGGAACTTGAGTGGCGCCTTTGTCGTCTCAATGTCGTAGGCCATGACGACGGGGTCGGCTCGCTTGACACGCTCAACTAGCTGCTTGAATATTGGCTGCCCGCCCTCGAAGGTGATGGCATACCAGAGACCGACGCGAATCTCGTTATCCATGGCAACGCGCAAGTAGTATGGCACGTCGAACTCCCGGATATCGATAATACCTTCCCTAGGATCCCGATCCTTGCCTCCAGGTCGACTCGAAGCGACACTGTCGACATCCATGGCCCATTCGGAGTCGACTTCTATCGACATGCTCGCTTCGTTCGCTGTGGCTTGGACGACCTCGGCGTACGCGTCGACGGCATCAAGTTTTGCACCATTGGCGAGAGCCAAGGGCATAACGTCTTTTCTGACCGCCAAAAGGTCTGACACGTTCCTGAACTGCAGCTGCAGGTAGAGTCGTCGGTGGCCGAGTAGGTGGTTTGGCATCTGCAGGTCTTCCTTCTTGTGCCGTGTAATGCGGCAGATGACGCCCTCGTATTTCTTAAGCAGCCACTCCTCTATCACAGTCTCCATCCCGCTCTGCGAAATATTCAGCTCAGGTACTGTGCTAGCTTCAGATTAACACGTACCTTGCAGGCGATGTAAAAGTAAGGCTCGTACTGTAGCGTGCACCTGAACATACCGCCGTCGTCTTGAATAAAGAAAAAGTCCACAGCAGCTTTCCCTGATGGCCATTCTGCATCTTTTACTAACGTCTATGCGCATAGATGAGCTGAGCGAAGCTTGACAAAGAATGAGAACGCACCGGGTGCATATTGATCAGCCACCCTTCCTTCGTAGGGCCCTCCGAGACCCTCGCAAAACCCATCTTCTCGTCAATTTCATCCTGGAGCCTGACTTGCTCGAATCGTTCTGCGAGCTGCGTGCCGTCGTCTTCGCGCGGTGGGCCTGGCTCGCTGTTCGCCGATGCGCCTCCCCTGCCTCGTCCTCGCCCTCTGCCGCCCCTAAAGTGCATGTTTCCACCACGGTTTGGAAACCGTGAGCCCCCACGGCCTCGTTTCCCGCCTCCAGAAAATGAGCCGCGAGCCATGTTCGAAGTCGTGGTCGATGACTGGGCGTCTACGCGCGCGTCACGGTCGCCAAGAGTCACCCTTGTGACTATAACGTGACATTTTGACAGTAACTCGGTCTTTGCGCGGGCTGTCACGTTCCCGCCTCGCTCTTTTGGTTTCGACTCTTAGGCCTGGGTCTACCGTAAAGCTGAGTATACTTGCATCCTCCAACAATATGTGATGGCACCATAGTGTTGTTGGTCATGGTTATGCTCTAAATTGCGCTTGTTGGAGCCGGTATAATCGACACTGGAGTCCAGCAGCTCACTACGTGCCAGTTAGCTCGCGAGGCCTGTGGAGAGATTCCGACGTATTTTGCTGATATTATGCTTAAATACGCTACAGATAATCTGACAAGTCCGTGGAAGTCTTGCCCTGAGCAATATTCATACATAGCAGCAGAAAGTAGGGTATATATAGCAGCATGAACAGCGCAAGACAGAACGACATTAGCACCGCATCTTGGTGTATTGCGGAGGCTCGCCAACGCTAAAGCACTGAACAACAGGATATATTCAACGTCATGTCGCTGGAACGAGTGAGCCACTCACGCACCGGTCGTGTATATGCTAGCTATGACATTTCAGCGTTCGCCTCACGCTTCCAGCCGGCGCTGCTTATGAAGTCCTCGTCGATTTCGATCTGCGTTCCGTGGTCAATGCCTGAAGTGTATCTTGCCTGTGGCATGTACTTACGGGAGCAGGGAGGGCGTGTACCGAAGCGACAGCAACAACGAGCAGGGCGGACAGTGCAGCGAGGACACGCATGACTAGGGCAGGTCGCTTTTGCGATAAGGGCGAAGTTGAGGATGAGCGTTCCTGTCCCGTAGATCGAAGGTGGTCAGTATTTATAGAGTTACAGCAGTATGCATCTGGAGCCGGCCGATGCGGGAACAAGCAGCTGTCTGCAGCTGTCGCTCTAGAGTAAGCTCCCATGCGGAACACAGCACGGCATCCGCTGCATGGGGCTAAAGATACCTGAATGTATAGGAGGATTACAGCTGCACCGTACCCCTGGCGACACAGCATGCCACTCTCGCCGACGTCGTTCACTTTGATATGGGTTCCAGGTCGTACGCAGCAGCGGTGTTAAGCTTCTTGTTAGGTCCTTGAGCCTGCGGAATGGCCAAGACGCATCTGGAATGCCTAAAGGGATTTTCTGTTCCCGACTGGGGCTGGACGTGTCAATGCATCGATGGGCCGGCAGGAGGGTTGCCGTGGTTGCCGTCTCCGCGTGTGCAAGGCACAGCGGCGCAGGGATCTTTTCGCCGGCTGCGATGAGAAGATAGCGAAAAACTGAGAAGCTTCCGTGTGCCTTGCCTTTCCTATTGAAACCGCGCGATGGAAAAATGACATTGACTCCCAAGTACTTCCGGCACGTGGGTACGCGCCTCTATTTTGGGTGGATACCCATGGAAATGCTCAATGTGCGCGAAATTAACAGGTACGAACATGAGACGACATGAGTCCTAGCATCGCACGAATGCTGCGCCTTGTTTTCTACGTCAACCATGAGCGCGTACCGTCGGAAAGATGCCCATTCCGTGAAGGCTCATGTTCAGCGAGAGACGTGCGCCTTAACAGCCGCCACGAAGCTTGCGTATTTCACGACCGGGTCCTTGCCTGATCCATACATCATGTGAGAATCGTTATCTGTTGCCAAAGTCGCCCCCGCTCTATGCGAGTACCTCGGCGTCATGCCACCTAAAGTTGTAGCAGTTTTTCCGATACTGTGTGCACTGACGAATCGGATGACCCGAGACAGTCTTCGATCATCGTCTCTCTCTCCTTTACGGATGTCGGTGATAGTGTCTAATATACCCATTTTGAGGGCGAACAAAGATATGTGTACATCACATCAAGAGTTTGTACGCTGGGAAGGTATGCACTTACGGTGAGGGCCATGCGATAAGCTGCCGAAGCTTTGTGTGACAAGCCCGGCCTGAGCTTGAAACGTTGCTGATGTTAATGAACGGCCTAAACTAACGGGTGGAGCCTCCTCTGTCGGATCCTTTCCCACAGGGCCGACCTTAGGCACCCGCTGGCATGACATTGCCCACATTGCGCACGTCGGGATGCACGGAAAGCTGCGGACAAGGGGGCGACATATCACGCACGGATGTCATCGAATATGCACTGGAGCACTGCTATGATACTAGTCCATAGCATCCCCCGCCTGGAGAACGGCCACATTCGGGAAGCTGTTAACGGCCCGGCGGAGAAGAGACAGGGCATGCACTCGGCAGGCGCGAGGGACAAAGATGTGGTCTATCCCGTAGATCGCGGTTGTGACAGGGCTATCGCGATGGCAGAGGAGAATCGCTGTCCATGCATGGTAACTTAGACGGTTAACGCACGCGACGACATGAAAATATGCGTACCGTGGAGTAAAGGTAATTGTTTACGAGGCCTTGAGGTCGAACTGATACTTCCTTTGGCAGAAAACTGAGAAAAAGTAAGTAGTGGTTAACGCCGGAATCGAACCGACGACCTAGCCGACCCCGCCTCCGATCGATCCCGCCCTCAACAACATCGCGTGCGCCCGGCTCCGCCGTCGTAACTTTTGTACGCGAGCACGATGTTTAGACTCTGTAGCCCCGCATGTACGCCAGCGCGGATTACCCTGGCGAAACTCGAGCTGTCAAAAGTCCAGCACACTGGCGCCATGCTGTGCGGCAACTCTGCAGCCTTCAAACCTAGGATTGAGCTATGCAGCCGATGGCGCGTCCGTCATGGTCACCTACTTGATTAGCGAACGAGCTCGCCCGGCAAATTGATGCCTAGGAGAAGGGCAAGGCGATTGTTATCAAGGCCGACGCATCGTCCACAGCGGAACTCATTGATGAGATAGTCCGGCACTTTGGCAAGCTTGACTTTTTGTGGATGCGGGGTTTTTGATCAACGGCGCTCTGGAGGCCTCCAACGAGTGGTCATTTGACGACCA